AGCACTTTCAACCTTTAAAGAGGTTGCTCTACCAACAGACCACGGTACGACACACACACATATATATACATACATATAGATATAGATTTAAATATCATTTTCTAAAATCCAAAACATAATCATAAGTTCAACCCTCAATGACCAAATCCTCTACATACAAGAGTAGGATCAACAAGGTCTTTAATACAAACGAAGTTGAAATGAACTTCAGCAACGCAAATTTATGAACTTAGCCCTCTTGCAAAAATGCACCACACCATGATCACCTTTTTGAATGGTGGCATTACCTAACAGTCTTCTTGTAAACCTCTTGCAAAGGTGGCATGAAAGCATCGCAAAATTTCTAACAAAATGTTTTCCAAAAAATAAACTGCAATTTTTTAGTTAATACTTTTAATAATATAACCAAATTCTTATGCTCATCATTATTGGCATTCATAGAATATAGTCATCAAGTTCTATACACAATAATGCCTGCCTTTCTTGGCACGGGTTGTCTAAATGACAAAAGTTATGACCATAATGTCTTGCACACCAACACCGCAACATGTGATTGTTTCTTAACAAAGAGGCATGACTAAATAGTCATAACAGTTGTTTAAATCAATTGTAAGAAAATTCATTGATTGAACTCTCCTTCCATTGTCATTGAATGTTTTGAATCAGGCCTACATTATTTACTCCATTAATCAGAGTGATTCTATCCTCCCTCCAGTCATTGAAAATCGTGAGATAGCCAGTTACCTCTCACTCTTCAAGATAATCATCCTTCTTTCTCTTGATCGGCCATTTCTTACTTTATTCTTTATATGTTCCAAGTTTCCAAGATGGCCATCTTGTTATCACACTTCCAGACCAAAAATTTCAATTTTTAAAGATCATTAATAATTTTACATCAATGCCAAAACAATTAAACCAAACAATATTAAGTGTTCGCAACACTTTAGACAGCAAATTTGAAAACAGTTTTACTGAACAAATATACATTTTACCAAACAACACATCATAATGCACTACAGTAAAATAATAAAGAATTAGCAAGCAGAGCCAGAATATCATAAAATAGACCCTATGAGCCACCAAGCACAATTTCGCATAAAAAAATATCATGCCAAACTTAGTAATAATAATGATGGAGACATGTCAATTCCAGCAATAAAAAATTAAATCAAGTAATTTCAAAAGAGAGAACACAAGCAGTACATACCTTCAGTTTTTTGCAGCTTGTTGTTATAATACCTATAATTAAAGAGAACATTGCCAGACCTCAACCTGGAAATTTGACAAGGCAACCTTATCAATGAGGTGCTTTTTCTCTACAAGGAAAAGAAAACTAAAATATATGGCATCACATAAACTGCACATCGCATTTTACTAGCACAAAGGCCATGAAATTATTGGGATTAAGTACAAAATAGAGCATGACAATGCATACGAAAAAAATCACAAAAACTGCAGCCCTTTAGGACAGCAACGGAGCAGAATAACTAGGCAGTTAGATTTAAAGGAAAACAATATAAAAAATAAAATAAAACATAAAATGATATCCAGTTAGATGCGTTCAAACATGATGATAAGCAGTATGAAAAGTCAAGCATCAACCTGAAATATAGACACCAATTCAAGGTCAATATAGATATTTTTCATGTCAGTGGATTGAATATATTATTTCATTGGCCCGTCACTGATGCATATTATGCACGAGATGAGCTAAAGAGCTGTTAATTTTCTACCAATAATTCAATATTATAAATGTAAGGATTAGCATACTTTTATTTAACAATTAAGATGGAAAGCAAACAGGATTTTCCATCATAGATCCCACTACAAATAGTGGAATGATGGGCAGCTAAACAAAAGTCCATTTCAATCTTCTGATAAATTAAAATAGATGACAATCTCAGTGATAGTATTGTAATTTTATCATAAAATATATACTGAAAATCAATAAACTTTACTGCCATTTGGGAGAATTTGAAATCCACAAAAAAGTTTGTTTGACAGTTCCAAATTAACTGCAGCCTGTACCAGCTAGCTCATGCAAAAGCTACCCTCATTGCTCAAGATCCGCACATAGTTGCGAGTTCACCATTGCCCGCAACTGAACCTCATGTATGCCCGGAGAAGTTGGTGTCAAGATGAAGCTATTCATGTGCCCGAGAAAAAAGATTGCTCAGGCTCGGTGCTTTTGTTACGCTATTCACCATTGTTGGCGGGCTCGAAATGCTAAGATCCATAACTGTATGCATGGCATACCGACTATTACGCAACAACTATAGAGAAATGCATGCAAGCCTGGCTAGGAAGCAGATTAATGAGATGATTTATCTTAATTAAATGTGTTTTAGCATAAGCAAATTATATTTAGCAAATCCAAATGCAAAGCGCCATAAAACATTAAGGGAAAAACATAACCCCTGCCAGTAATTCCATCCCATCCTTTGTTTTCTTCTACCACAATCACAATATTTGCTATCTATAATTATGTAAATGTGCTGCACATGGTAGAAAGTACAATAAAGACCACTGTAAATGAGTAGACTTGGTTAGAGATTTTTTTGTTCTGCAAGATCTTAAGAAAAACTATAACCATCATTTAGGCCTAGCCTAGGATGCACAACCCGGCACACCTTAATTTTCACAGCTTTTAAACCATCCATTATAACTACAAAATTAGAAAAATGCGACCAGTCCATCAATTAGGAGTGCCAAAGAGAAAATTGCTTTGTTGAAACATTTTAATGGCAAATCATTTCAAGGTCAATCCATCAGCATTTTATTAAGAAATATAGCTCAATAGTTCAGATTCTACTGAGAAAAATTATCTAAAATGATAGCCAAAAATCAATGAAAATATATGGAATAAAATAAATAAATAGCATCCAAAGATTAAAAACATGGCTTAAACTTCAATATCTATTGGCTGAATTCCAAACTGTAGGTGCAAATTATAGAGCATCTAACCTTCTATATTAAAAGTTGATCAGTGGGTGCTTATAAGGATCAAATGGGTTAATTATCGACTAAACAGTTGTCTCAATAAGTTAACTACAAATCTTAAGGGAGAAACCAAAGATAACTTTTACATGATTGAATAACTATGGCCCCATTAAAACGAGTTGCAAATCTAGGATGTTAAGATAACCCGTTAACACTAGCAGCCATATATTTTCACTATCATCTGCTTCATTTAGTAAAGCAGGTCCCTAGAAAGCCATTCTTGGTGATTGAATATTATGAATGCACGGAAAATGGTAGCAGACACAATAAAGACCACTGTAAATGAGTAGCCTTGGTAAATATTTTTCTGTTGTGCAAGATCTTAACAAAAACTATAACCATGATTTAAGTTTATACAGAAACTTCCCTAGCCTAGCATGCACAACCCAGTACGCCTTAATTTTCACAGCTTTTAAATCATCCATATCTATAAATTAGAAAAATGATACCAATCCCTCAAGTAAGAGTGCCAAAGAGAAAATTGCTTGTTGAAACATTTTAATGGCAGATCAAATCAAGGTCAAGCACCAATTAGCATTCTATTAAGAAATATTGCTCAATAGTTCTGATTCTATTGAGAAAATTATCCAAAATTCTAACCAAAAATCAATCAAAATATATGCAGCAAATAAATAAACAAATATCACCCGGAGATTAAAAACATAGGTTAAACATCAATATCTATTGCCTGAATTCCAAACTTTAGGTGCAAATTATACAGCATCTATCCTTCTAAATTAAATCGGTCACTGGATGCTTACGAGGACAAAATGAGTTAATTACCGATTAAACAGCTGTCTCAATAAGTTACCTACAAATCTCAAGACAAAAATCAAATATAACTTTGACATAATTGAATAACTATAGCCCCATTAAAACGAGTTGCCAATCTAGGATAATAAGATAACCTGTTAATACTAGCGCCCAGATATTTTCAATATCATCTGCTTCATTTAGTAAAGCAAGTCCCAAGAATAACATATCTTAAAGAAACATACCACTTTGGTTAATTACATTTAGTAAAGCAAGTCCCAAGAATGCTCACCATCCAATCACCATAAAACCCAACTTTCAAGATTACCATTCTTTGCATTTTTATATCATGTCCACAAAATGGAACAATATTAATGCTGAAAATAGAGACCATCAGGAGATTGGAAAAAGGAGGGACAAAAAAATTTAACAGAAATGAAATGGAAGCAAAAAAGAGGAATCTTTGAAGTGTGATGCCTTGTTTCGTCTTCCAAGGGGAGTCCAAGAGAGTCAGAGAGAGAGAGAGAGAGAGGGAGAGAGGAAGAGAGAGAGAGAGAGAGCGAACAAGCAAGGAACAAAGAAAGGGTAATTTCGTGTTATAAAGTGACATGAATAGAGGAGGATAGAACGACACAGAGAGTAGAGGAGGAATATAAGCCAAGTGATTCTCTTATCAAAGTGTGGAGGTCGTGCGAAGGAGAAGACGATGCCACGATTTGTTGCTGGAGGTGTCATCGAGCAAGTTAAGGTAGCAATGATGTGCTCGCGTGAAGAAGAAAAAACATAAGGAAGAAGAAGCTGGCCAAACCATAGCCGTGTGCTTGTAAAAGATGTCACGACCAGACTCAGTGCTTATAATTAACTAAGACAGATATTGCGGCAGGACAGTATTAACATCAAACCATCCACATTTTTAAAACTTCCAATATATATAAAAGAGCCGCTAATATCCACGGGCTCAATAAGGAAATTTAAATAACCCAAATGTAACAGAAAATCTACAAGTAAAATCTTAATTTACATAACCATATTAATCTATCCAAAAGAAACAGTACAAAAAGAAATTACAAACATATCATACTAATATCTATCAGTAGTAGTCCTCCTCCTATAAATCAAATCTCTCCTACCAGACATATCAACCTATAACTTTTCTCTCTTAAAGAAATCATTAATTAGAATTATAAGCATGATTTAGTGAGTAATTATAATCTAATATGCATTAAATTTTTATGATATATTATGCATGAATGACCAAAAAAAATGCAAATCATTTCATTTAAACTTTAAATTTATCCTTTTCTATTTCATTTAAATATTTATTATTTTTAATCTTTTTAAAAGTCAAAACAACATTACCATCATACCCGAACGTATTCTCAAAAATGTGTCTGAAGACACCCTAAAAAATATACCTGCACCCGAAAGCGCATATTTATCATTTCCTTTAACATGCAAGGGTATATCTCATCTCCTTTCAGTACTATCTTAGGGTAATCTTGTATGAATTAAACCTTTTACCTTTCATTTCATAAAAATTTAAAACCATCTAAATTGTACCTTCATCAGTTTGTTGATTTTCTCCCAACCCTTATAATATTTTACTTTTAAAATGAAATTCATGAATGAAGTACTGGTTTTAAATCATTTATTGTGATTATTCATTTAATGAAACAATAATTTAATGCTTAAAAGAAAATAATATCACACCTTAGCCTTAAATGACTGTTGTAAATGCTTAATTTTTCACTTCACTTCTTGACTATTAGCTATTAGTTAAATATGCATACAATAATAAAAATTGTATTCTATAAGAAAGACTTAAATATATGTAATGACATAACAAAAATAAAACAAATAAATAATTATACAATTTATTACCTTAAAAGGATTTGATTCATTTTCTTGCATAAGTCTCCTCTTTCCCCTTACAACTCTAATTGATTCACATTTAATCTTCTACCTTTATATCTAATTAAATTAAACATGGTATTAGCATTTAGCAAGTAACCCGATATTTTACATTCAAACAATTAATATCATAAAACATTAAATACTCGTATATTAATTTACTCTTATTTAAAAATAATAAATTTTATCTTTTTATAGGTTCAATTATCTGACCTAACCTTACGCACGTAAGGTACGCGGGGGCTTAGACTGGCTTACCTCTTCTCCTTCAGTCTCGATTCGATGCGCGTTAAACATCACCGGTAGGGCATGAGCTTCGGCTCTTGGTTCAATTCAGAGTCGCTCACACGCATCTTCTTCCTCTTCGTCGACCTCGTCTTCCACCATTGATCCTCCTTCCTCTTCGTCGTCGCTCGAGTAAGTATCGCACGATGAGGAAAATCGCACGAGCCTTTTTCCTTCTACTTCTCCTACTTCGTCAGCTAGGGCACAAAAAATCATTCCATCTCCTAATCTCTATGGTGCTTTCATTCGAATGAGGGGGAAACGTCGAACAACATGAAATGAGTCTCTTACGAGAGGGTGCATCTCTTCTAATAGGCGACACC